AAAAAAAAAAAGAAAAAAAAAGAAACCTGCCCCATAGGGTTTCCAAGGAGCAGCCAGTGGATTTGAAGTGCTGATCTTTTGGTTAGCAGCCAAGTTCTTAACCACTGTGCTCCCAGGGCTCCTGTTTCTATACTGGTAACAAACAATTAGAGATTTAAATAAAAAAATCAGTACCATTTACAATAATACCAAAACCCTATAAAATACTTAGGTGTAAATCTAACAAAATACGTTTAATACCCGTATGATGAAAACTATAAAACACTGATGAGAGAAATCAAAAACCTAAATGAACGGAAAGATATACAGTATCCATGGATTAGAAGACTGAATATTAAGATGTCAATTTTCCCCAAATTGATCTATACATTCAGCACAACCCCAGTCAAAATCCTAGAAGGGTATTTTATAGAATCAGCAAACTGCTTCTAAAATTTATGTGGAAAATCAAAGAAAGTAGACTATCCAGAACAGTTTTGAAAAAAATTTAGATAAATACCTCTTAGATATTTTGTGAAGAAATTATACACTACTGATTTTAAGACTTCATATGAAGTTACAGTTATCAAGAAGGTGACATCGGAAAAAGAAAGATACGTAGGTCAGAGGAACAGAATAGAAAGTCCGGAAATAAACTGATCCATATGTGGTCAATTGATTTCCAATAAAAGCATAAAGACAATTTGATGGAGGGTCTTTCCAACAAATGGTACTGGAATAACTGAACATCCATAGGCAAAAAAACTAACAGCAGCAAAAAAAAAAAAAAAAAAACGAAACCAAACCTCTACCCATGCCTTGCACCACATAAAAAATTAATCCAAAATAGATCATAGAGCTAAATGTAAAATCTAAAACTATAAAACTTTTAGGAGAAAATCTTCGGGTTATTCAGAGATCTTAGATATGACACTAAAAGCATGATCCATAAAGAAAAAATAATAAATCAGGCTTCATCAAAATTAAAATTGTTTGTTTTGTGAAAGACAGTATTAAGAAAATGAAAAGGCATGCCACAAACTGGGAAAAATATTTGAAAAAATTGTTTTTGGTTACCTATCTGACAAAAGTCTTATATACAGAATATATAAAGAACCCTCAGAACTCAACAATAAGAAATCAAACAACTCAATTAAAAAATAAGCAAAAAATTTGAGCAGACACCTCACAAAAAAAAGATATACCGATGGCAAATAAGCACATGAAAATACGTTCAACATCATTAATCATTAAAACCAAAACAAACCAAACCTGTTGCCATTCAGTCAATTCCGACTCATAGCAACCCTATAGGACAGAGTAGAACTGCCCCATAGGGTTTCCAGGGAGCAGCTGGTGGATTCAAACTGCTGACCTTTTGGTTAGCAGCCATAGCTCATTAATCATTAGGGAAATACAAATTAAAACCACAATGAGATACCACTGCACACCTATTACCAAAAAACAAAACAAACCCATTGTTGTCGAGTGGATTCTGACTCATACCGACCCTATAGGACAGAGTAGAACTTCCCCATAGGGTTTCCAAGGCTGTAAATTTTTAGCGGAGCAGACTGCCATATCTTCCTCCTGAGGAGCGGCTGTTGGGTTGGAACTGCTGACTTTCCAGTCAGAAGCCGAGTGCTTAACCACTGCACCACCAAGGGCTTCTGAACACCTATTAGAATGGCTAAAATAAATATAAACTGACAATATTAAGTGCCAACAAGGATATATAGCAATTGGTACTCTCATACAGTGCTGTGAGAATGGAAAACGGCATGACTACTTTGGTAAACAGTTTGCCAATTTCTTATAAAGTTCAACATGCACTTACCATACCAGCAATCCCACACCTAGGTATTTGCCTAAGAGAAATGAAAACATGTCCACATGAAACTTATATGCAAATGTTTCTAGTTCTCTATTCGTAACCACTGAAAACTAGAAACAACCCAAATGTCCTTCAACTGGAAATGGATAAACAAACTGTGGTATATCCATAAAATTGAATACAGTATTCAGCAATATATAAGAATGGACATATAATAGCATATAACAAAACGGACATATTGAACCTCAAATGTATCATGCTAGGTGAAAGAAGCCGAACTCATAGGCAACATACTATACAATTCCATTTATATGACATTCTGGAAAAGGCAAAATTATAGATACAGAAAGCAGATGAGTGATTGCCCTTGGTGGGGAGATGTTGATTACAATGGGGCATGAAGGTGATGAAACTCTCTTGACTGTGGTGGTAGTTATATGATTTTTCATATTTGTCAAAACTCACGAAACTGTACTTGCTTTTGTTGGGCTATCAGTGAGGCCACCCTCAGTGGTGTGTAGGGCAGAAATCAGGTTGCAGGGAGTAGTGGTATGATGCCCCTCACATTTGTCCTTTCTAGAACTTGTTCCAGTTTGAAATTGATATATACGTTTCCCTGGTTATCGATTTATTATTCCCTCCCCCACCTTCCTGCACTGAAAGCTTTGGAAGGCACCGCGTCTCCATAACTTGGTCTTGGATTGACAAAAAGCAAACCCTTGCTTGTTGAATGAATGAATGAGTGAATGAATGATGGATTAAATGGACAAATCCTATGCATAAATTCTACATATTGACATTAAACATCCTTTTAAAATCCCTTTACTGGTATGTAGATGCTGTTTCTCAATATCACAAAAAAAATTCCTGGGTAGCAATAGTTATTCTTAATCCAAGCCAGTTGATTCCTTATCAATCAGATTGCCAACTTTGATTTTTATCTCCCTAAAGATGTCCAATATGTTGAAAGGGTATCCTGTCTGTCCTTCCAGGCTTTTCTCTCTGTGTTGTCCAATCCAACTTCTCCTTTGCTGCCTTAATAATCTCCCTGGAAGACCATTTGGGGTAAATCCTCACCTATGGCCCATTGACACTATAATGGTCTCCTCTAGCTGGCAGCATATTCAAATGAGAATTTAACATCAGTTATATAGAGGATCACTTCAGCTCCAAAGGGCTTTCCCCAGCGGATGTGACTTTTCTTCAAGGGGAAACTCCTCCCCCGTCCCCCACCCCTAATTGCTTTTAGTGGGAAGAGGTATGTGATCCTGGCCCCATCTCTTTCAGATCGGCTCCTACTTTGGGGCCTCCCTCTGCTCCGTGGACATGGACATAGATGGCAACACCGACCTGATCCTCATCGGGGCCCCCCATTACTATGAGCAGAGCCGGGGGGGCCAGGTGTCTATCTGCCCCTTGCCCCGGGGGGTGAGTGACTGACGGGGCCTGGGCTGGGTGGGTCCCAGGTGTGGGGTGGAGGGGTTGCCCACTTGGGGCCTAACACTGGTTTTGTTCAGCAGCGGGCCAAGTGGCAGTGTAAGGCTGTTCTCTTGGGGGAGCAGGGCCATACTTGGGGCCGCTTTGGTGCAGCCCTGACAGTGCTGGGGGACGTAAATGGGGACAAGTTGACAGACGTGGCCATTGGAGCACCAGGGGAGCAGGAGAACCGAGGTGCCGTCTACATATTTCTTGGAGCATCAGGGCTGGGCGTCAACCCCTCCCACAGCCAGGTGAGGCCCCATCACTGTCTTTGTCATGACAGTAGCTGCTTCGATGACCTGTCCCCTTCTAACACAACGTTCCCACAGCTGCTAGATCAGTTCTCCCAGGATTCCTTCTCAGAACCTTTAAAAATAATAACACACACTTCACAGAAATCTCAAAGTCTCCTCTAGATTACATCTCACCACAATACAGGAGGTGCATGGTGGGGCGGGGGGAGATCATCATCTCCACTTCAGTGATGAGGGAGTCAGGAATGATAAAATGGCCTGCTGGATGTGTAGGGATGTAATTCCTTTCTTTCAAGTTACAATTCTGGTAGATGACTAGCCAGTGGTTTGCCCAGGCCCATCCTGATTTTTAGCACTGAAAGTTCCACTGAAACCCCTATGGTTGGTCACCCTACTAGGGAGTGCACACTTCTTGGATGTGCAATTTGTGCAGTCACACAGGATCCCACTCTCAGAAGGGCCCTGCACTGGGTTTAATGCTCTGCTGTCCCCATCTTGAAATTCTTAATAATTTTTGAACAAGGGCTCTGCATTTTTCTTTTGCACTGGGTTCTGCAAATTATGTAGCTGCTCTGATGGGCTGTTACCCTGTATCCTGGTCTCCACAACTGCTTTCCTCTCTAACATGGCTCCCTGTTTCCTGCCGTATGGAACCCACTGTGTGGAGGGACCCTCACGGTCTGGTTCCATCTCACCTGTGTCATCTTCTCTCTCACTGCAGCCAGCTAAGGCTGTCTCTGTTGTCTGGCCTCAGTCTCCAAGCCTTTTCCAGCCTCACATTTTTCTCATGTCCTTTCTCTCTCTGTAGCCTCACTTCTGCCAAATCCCTCACTCCCGAGAACCCTGCTCACACGTTAAAATCACCTGAAGGTCTTAAAAAAGCAAAGAAAAACAGATGTTTGGACCCCATTAATAAAAACAAAAATCCAAACCCATTACGGTCGAGTTGATTCTGACTCATGGCAACCCCACGTGTTACAGAGTAGAACTGCTACATAGTGTTTTTTTTTTGTTGTTTTTTTTTTTTTAGTATAGTCTTTATGGAAGCACATCACCAGGGCTTTCTTCCTTGGTGCCACTGGGTGGATTCGAACTGCCAACCTTTAGATTAGTAGCCGAGTGCAAACTGCTTGAGCCACCCAGGGACCAGACCCCACCTATAGGGTTTCTGATTTAATTATTCTGGGATTGGAACCCCAGGTATCAGTAGATTACTTTACATTTATTTGAGAATCTCTCAAATATACAGCAAAGCTGAAAGAATTGTACCGTGAACACTGATGTATCTACCACGTATTATTAACATTTTATCATATTTACTATCTCATATTCATCCTTCTATCCTTTTCTATCCATCCGTCAGTCCATTTTGTGTATATTTTAATGCATTTAAAAGTAAGTTGTAGCATCTGTCCACTTTCCACCTAAACTTCAGCCTGTATATTTGTTAGAAATCAATATTTGTTTACACTTTTTTTAAGGTAAAACTTATAGACAGTAAAATGCACAAATTTTTAGTGTCTTTAGCCTTTCAGTGAGTTTTGACAAACGCATACACCTGTGTAACCTGTACCCCTATCAAGATACTGAAGATCATTATCCTCCAGAAATTTTCTTCCCACACCTTCTCTGTCACTTCCTGCCCCTAACCTCATCCTGGAGGCAACCACTGGTCTGATCATTTTCCACCATAGATTAGTGGAATTTTGTATGGGACAATATAGTATATAGGCCCCAGAATTTTTCTAAATCATATTTTATTGTGTTTTAGGTAAAAGTTTACTCAGCAAATTAGGTTCCCGTTTAACAATTTTTATACAATTTTTTATAGAAATTGGTTACAGTTTTCACAATGTATCAGCATTCCCACTATTTCCATTCTGTTTGTTCTATTTCCATTGATTTAACTTCCTTTCCCCTCCTTGCCTTCTCATCTTTGCTTTGGGTAAATGTTGACCATTTGGTCTCATACAGTTGATTGCTTACGGGAGCACATTATTCAAGGGTGATATTGTTTATTTTATAAGCCAATCTATTAGTTAGCTGAAAGGTGAACTCCAGAAATCAATTCAGTTCCAAGTTCAAAGAGTATCTTAGGACGATAGTCTTGGGGGTTCCTCTAGCCTCTATCAGTCCAGTAGGTCTGACCTTTTATAGGTATTTGAATTTTCTACATTTTCCTCCCATTCTATCAGGGACCTTCTGTTGTGTCCCTGGTCAGAATGGTCCGTAGTGGTAGCCGGCCACCATCTAGTTCTTCTGGTGTCAGATTAGAAGAGGCAGTGGTTTGTGTGGGCAGTTAGTCCTGTAGACTAGTTTCTTCTTTGAGCCTTTGATTTCCTTTATTCTCTTTTGCTCCCTCTAAGTAGAAACTCTAGTGTTTTTTTTTTCTTTTACTAAGTTTTTTAGGTGCAGATAAAGCTGAGAAATGCTGTCTTACACATTTCTCTCTGGGTGGCAGAGCCTCGCTCCACAAATATGAGTATTATAATTATGTTTCTTTTCACTGGGGCCCACTGTTTTGCTATGTAAATGAGAGTTAAGGACTCTGGTTTTATTTTATTTTTATTACAGAGGCTTTACGTTCTTGTTGTAGAAATTTAAAATTCTAAAGTTAACAGTGAAAGCCTTAGCTCCCTCATCCCAACCATAACTCACCCTCTAAAGGAAGACAAGGCTAAGGGAGAGTACTTCCTATGTCCACAGGCACACATGCATACACACATAGACTTGGGGATTAAACAACTACAAAAAGGATCACACTATCCTATTCTCCTGTTTGCATTTTTCACTTCCTTTTTTCTTACGATTGACGTGGGGTAGGGTGAGGCTGGTGTGATTCTCCAGACTAACACATTATTTCAAAACACAGCTTCCTCCCAACAGAATACCATAACTTTTTTCTTTAAAAAAATTTGAGGTATAATATTGAAGCAGTAAGCACACAAATCTTAAGTGATGGATTTTACGTACGTGTAAACTTAAGTAGCAACCACCTAGATTAAGAGATAGCACATTTCCAGCATCTCATGTTTCTCCATGAATCCTTCCAGCTGACAAAATCACTTAAAATTTTTCTTTTTATTATTTGACTGTTATTTTTTTCAGTGTCATTTTTGCACATAGTTTAAAAAGTGAAACAATTCTAAAAGGCTCATTATAAAAAATAAAAGTCTCCACACACACATATCCCCTTCTCTCAAGGAAACCACCTTCAGCTCTTTCACTGATTCTCCATACTACCAAATAATATGATCATTTTGTTACTTCTTGATTTTTGTTTTAGCAATGATTTCCCATCATAGGAAGTGAGAATTGAGCTCTCAGCTCACCTCTTGCCACACATTAACACCTCTTTCATTTCCCCACCGTCCTGTCCCATTCATTCCGTACATTTATATGATAATTTTGGTTAGCTCAATATTCAGTGTTTTCATTATTCTGACCATGTAAATGAGATTTAGCTGAACCAAATAGTATACTATGTACTTCTCTTTCCCTGTAAAATTTTTTGTTTTCCCTGAAAAACCCAGATATTTGATGGAAATTTTGGGTATCATATTAAGATTGTGGTATAAGATGAATACTTCCTCTAATTCCTTAACAGAAGTTATGAGAGATGAGACTTGAGTGGAGTCCAGAGAACCTCAACTTATCAGGTCACCCTGGGGGACACATTTTACTATTGTTTCTCACACTCTCTTTCACTTCAGCGGATTGCAGGCTCCCAGCTGTCTCCCAGGCTCCAATATTTTGGTCAGTCACTGAGTGGTGGCCAGGATATCACACTGGATGGTCTGGTGGACCTGGCTGTAGGAGCCCAGGGGCATATGCTGCTGTTCAGGTGAGAATCCCTTTGGAGTACACCACATGTCCTCTCTTGAAGAAGTCTCTTTACTGTCTGAAGCCTCCTGGTGGTCCTCTGGTGTCCCTGCAGGTCCCAGCCGGTATTAAGAGTCGAGGTGACCATGGAGTTCACACCCAGAGAAGTGGCAAGGAAGGTATTTGAGTGTCACGGACCGGTGGCGAGAAACCAGAATGCTGGGGAGGTCAGAATCTGCTTCCGTGTCCGCAAAATCACACGGGACCGACTGACAGTAGGTGAGGCTTGGTAGGTTAAGTCTCAATAGGTTAAATGGCAACCAAGTCTGTTCAGCCTTCTGGCAGTACAGAGCTCAGTTCTCAAAGGCTCTGACAAGGCTTCTCCAAGTTTGGCTAGAGTGAGCAGGCTACTTCTGTGCTGGGTGTAGAGGCCCAGAAAACCCTACCAAAGAAGCGAGCAAGTAATCATCCCTCATTCTCTCAGTTCTCCAGAGAACCAAGGACACCATATTTGTGAATCAACCAGGGTTTTCTATCTCAGAGAGAATTCATTTAAAGGGGAAATTGAGTTGATGAAGCCAAACACAAATTCACAAAGCATTCAAGCATGCAGTTTATCACAACCAGCCTGACTTCTCCCTTTGTCCTTATTCTCAAAGAATGGCATGATGCTTGAAGTGGGGGAATACTAATGGTGGTACTAGAAAGAAACAGGATGGAGGGAGAATACAATTAACTTTCTAGAAGGAGTCTTATTGGCCTAAGGAGACAACAGTCAGAGTTAGGGGCCACCAGCAGGGCTGGAAATTGACAAAGTCCTAGAGAGTAGGAAATTGTAGAGAAGGTACCCCAAAACCTACATAGAAATTCCTTTCAAGTCATTGGCTGACTCCTAAGCCATGAATGCTCAGGTGAATACTCTAAGAAACCCAATAGAAAAAAGTAGTTGGGAAACTAAAGAGCTGAGCAGAGAATTCAGCAGATTTCCAGTGCTTAAGAGATATAGATTTGAGAGGAGCCTTGGTAAAAACCTAGATCTTTCCACTGAGACTATTGACTAGCAACCAAGAGAAACAATAGACAATGGAAAGAGATCCACGGGTTATTCAGAGATTAAAGATATTAGGTACGAATTTGAAAATAATTACAATTAATATCTTCAAGAATACAAAAGAAAGGATGGAGAATTTCAGCAAAGACTTATGATCCAAAAAACAATTGGTTAGCAGCAAAGAGAAACAATAAACAATAGAAACAGACTCACATTTAATTCAGAAATTAGAGCTATCAGATAAGGACCTTAGAATAACTAAAATTACTATTTTCAAAAGAATAAGGGAAGGGATGGAGAACTTTGACAAAGACCTGAAAATCATAAAATACAGTAAGATGGAAACTCTAGAACAGAAAAAATACAATGACTAAAATTAAGAATTTAATAAATAGGTTTAATAGCAGATTAGAAGCAGAACAGATTAGTGAACCAGCAGACAGACTAAATGAAGGAATTCAGATTAACACAGAGAAGAAAGGATGAAAAATACATGAAAAAAATCATAAGAGATGTGTGGGACATGCTGAAAGAATTAACAAACATGTAACTGGAATCCCAGAAAGAGAGGAGGAATAAGAAAGAAGCAACGGCTGTTAAGAATTTTCCAAAACTGATGAAAGACATCAAGATTCTCTACAAAGCAGTAGAAATACAAATATAAACATATCAAGGTGCATTATAATCAAACTGCTGGAAACCAAAGCAGCCTGAAAAATGCAATTAACTTTATGGTATATAATAGCAGGTAACCCTTTATTGAGCACGTACTATGTGGCAGGCACTGTGCTAAATTCTTTACAGACATTATTTCATTTATCTTCACCAGTGGGAAGGTGTGATTTTATTTTCACTTTAAAAATAAGGAACTGAGTCTCAGAAAGGTCAGATAACAAATCAAAAGTCGCACAGCTGGGGAGCTATGGAGTTGGGCCTCAAACCCCTGTCTGTCTGACTCTAAAGCCTAGACTCCTAACCCCATGCTGCTCTGACACTTCAGGAGAGATCCAAAGCATTATCACTTATGACCTGGCTCTGGATGCTGGCCGCCCAAATCCCCGTGCCGTCTTTGATGAGACAAAGAACTCTACATATAGACAAACACAGACCTTGGCATTGATGGAGAATTGTGACACCCTGAAGCTACAGTTACCGGTGAGCAGGCGGGTGATTGGACCCCTGGGTCCTCCAAGCATGGGGTGGATTTGGGAAACTGAGGAGGGCAGACCCCCATACCCCATTGTCTCTTAGGATTGTGTAGAGGACCCAGTGACTCCCATTGTCCTGCGCCTCAACTTCTCTCTGGAGGGGCGGCCCTCACCCTCTTTCGGGAATCTCCGGCCAGTGCTGGCTATGGATGCTCAGAGACTCTTCACAGCCTTGGTGAGTCCTAGAGTTGGGGCCCTGTGGGCATGGAAAAGACCAGAGCCAAGATTATTGAAGCTCATTTTATTTCATATAATTTTATTTCAATATTTCATCTTATTATTTTATTTCCCATCATTCCATCGTTTCCTTTCCTTTCATCTTATTCTATTTTTACAGTTCCCCTTTGAGAAAAATTGTGGCAATGATGGTATCTGCCAGGATGACCTCAGCGTCACCTTCAGTTTTATGAAGTGAGTTTCTTTTCCTCATTGCCTCCTCTAAACCTACATCGTGACTAAACCCTCTGTTCTTCTGGCCTTTGAGGGAGCCTGGCATAGGGCAGCTCTTTGGGAGCTGTTTGTGTACCACAAGTCCCTTGCAGCTGTCCCATCTACTATCTTCTCTCTTCAGATCTCCACATCATTCAGAGTAGACTTGCCACAGCACCTCATGGTCTCTCTTGTTCCTCCTACAGCCTGGACACACTGGTGGTGGGTGGTTCCCGGGACCTCAATGTGACTCTGACTGTGAGAAACCAGGGCGAGGACTCCTACAGGACTCAGGTTGCCTTCTTCTACCCACCTGGCTTGTCTTATCGGAGAGTGTCAGGGGCCCAGGTAACAGAATTTGTCTCAGGTTCTATCTGACCTTTTCCCATCCTTGTGGCTGTTGACATGACCACTGTCACATCCTTTGCCTTCCAGAACCAGCGCTCACAGAGATTCTGGCGCCTGTCCTGTGAGTCTGGGCCCTCCCATGAAGGGCCTGGGACCCTGAAGAGCGTCAGCTGCAACATAAACCACCCCATCTTCCCAGGCAACTCCGAGGTCAGAACTACTGGCTCCTTTTTTTCCTCCTTTTTCTTCTCCTGAAATGTATCTCTTTGATTCTTTTTTTTTTTTTTTTTGGTAGATCCCCTTTTTAAAGACAGCTTTATTGAGATAATTCACACACCATACAATTCATCCTTTGGAAGTGTACCGTTCAGTGACTTCTAGTATATTCACAGAGTTGTGCATACATCACCACCATCAATAGCAGAACATTTTTATTACCTCAAAAAGAGACCCTGCTCCCTCTAGCCATCACCCTCTCCCGTCCTTCTATCCTCTCCAGCAGTTGGCAATCACTAATCTTTCTGTCTCTATAGATTGGTCTGTTCTGGACATTTCATATAAATGGAATCTTACAATATGTGGTCTTTTGTGACTAGCTTCTTTCATGTTAGCGTAATGTTTCTGAGGTTTATCCATGATGTAGCATCTATCAGTGCTTTATTTCTTTTTATAGACGAATAATATTGCATTGTATGGACATTTCATTTCATCAGCTGACGGACGTTTTGGTTGTTCCTTCTTTTCTATTCTCGTCATTGCCTCTCCTTTCTCCAACCTCAGGTCACCTTTAATACCACTTTCGATGTGGACTCTGATGCTTCTTTTGGAAACAAATTACTCCTCAAAGCCAATGTGACCAGGTGAGCTGTGCCAAGCCCCCCCACAAGTGTCCTTCCCTTTGAAGCCCCAGCCCCTTGTCCAGGGTGGGTCTTTGCCCTTTTTCCCACTGAGTTTCCCCTTCGGCTCGTCAAACACTGGTGGAGCACCCATCGTGTGCTAGGCATTGTGCTCAGTGCTGGCGAGGCAGTCATGGACAAGACAGATGTAGTTTCTGCTCTCACAAGGCTTACCATTTAGTGGTAAAGACAGACAAGTAAATCGGCAATTACAATACAGTATGAAATGAATGATTAAATGGGGGAATGTACAGCGTTCTTCGGAGCTTGCTGTTCAGAGAAAATTCCTGAAGATTTAGGCAGTGAATTAGCCAAGCAAAGGCATGAACTGATGGTGGGCATGAGGTAGAAAGAAGGACGCATGCACCAGGCAGAACCTGGAGACTGCGAAGATCAGGGTGTGTTTAAGGAATGGAAGCTCAGTAAGGTCTCAGTACCTAGTGCAGGATTTAGGGAGTTGGTGGTGGTTAGATACAGGCTGGAGAGATGGGCTGCGACCGTGTCATAAAATGACTGACGGGCGATGTCAGAGAATTTGCACTTTAACCTATGGGAGTGACATGATCAGATTTGTATGCTAGAAAGATCACCCCCAGGAGCGGGAGCAGTTTTGAATTGGGGGACCAGTTAGGAGAACGTTTCTGCAGACATCCATATCATTGGGGCTGGGCCTGGGCTAGGTGGGGGGAGGGAGTTAGAGAACCGTGATGTTAGAATGCAGGGATGACAGGAATTGGTGATCCTTTGGAGGTGGTTGGTGAGGAACAGGAAGAAGGAAAGGTTGAGTCTCAGCTCTCAAGAGCTGACTAGAGCTCTCTTTCCCTTCAGTGAGAACAACATGCCCAAGACCAAAAAATCTGAATTCCAGCTGGAACTGCCTGTGAAATATGCTGTCCACACAGTGGTCACCAGGTTCTGCCTTAGCTCTGCCTTCACCACTGGGCTGCACACGGGCAATTGTGTATTTGTGTGTAATGTGTCTGAGTATAAGGATATATGTGCGTGTGTATATGTGTGCCTGTGTATGTGTTTATATATTTGTGTGTGTGTATGAATGGCCCAAACTGGCATGCACTGTGTCCAACACACATTGCCCTTTCACATCATTTTGCCTGCACCCATCAGGGCTGCATTACCCACGTGCCTGTTCACCCCCTTACACTCTTAGCCCGAGATGCTTTCCTGGGGCAGCCCTGATGCTCTGTTGTCTCCTGTCCCTACCCCTTCTTTATCCCATCAGCCTTGAGCACTCTACCAAATATCTCAACTTCACAGCCTCAGAGAGCACCAGCCGGGTTGTGGAGCATCAATATCAGGTGGGGAGCTATGGACATCCGAGTCCTGAGAAGGAGGCTGGGGAGGAAAATCAATGTGATGGGAATGCAGAAATAATGATGGGAACCATGCATAAAGTGCCTACTATGTGCTAAGCACAGTTCTAAGCTCCTTCTCACTCTCTACACACACAAGCATGCACATATGTATATGTACACACGCACACATATATATAATTAACTCATTTTATCTGCTTGACAACTCTGTGAACTAGACACTGTCATCGTTCCCAGTTTATAGATAAAGAAACTGGGGCTCAGAGATGTTAAAAAACATGCCAAAGGTCACTCAAGAGCCTGTCTGGCTCTCCAGTGTATGTGTTTAGCTACTACACTCTACTGCCTCCCAGAAAGCATCCAGAGGGCAGGATTCCTGGGCAAATGAGGCCTTATTCAGGTGTACTGGGCTGTAGCTGTAGGAGGTGGGAGACTGATCCCAGGATCTGGCAGGGGCAGAAAGGCCCAGAGCTCTGACTCCCCTTCTGCCTCCCACACCCCATGCAGTTCAGTAACCTGGGGGACAGGAGCGTATCCATCAGTGTGGTCTTCTGGGTCCCCGTTCTGCTGAACCAGGTGAAGGTGTTGAAAGAACTCCAGGTTGACTTCTCCCAGGTGAGCCCAGCTGGGCCTGAGGAGGTGGCTCCAGATCCTCCCTCCACGGCCCTTGTCTTTCCTAAAATCTGTGGACCCTTCTGGATTTTGGAGCTGTCCCCTCTGGCCCTCACCTAGACCCAGGCAGCCTCACCCCTCCTTTATGATGGACCCAGAAGCCCTCATTGCTGTCTCTTCTCACAGTGTCTCTCTTTCCTCAGAACATCTACAATTCATCCTACACTGAAGAAAGATTTCCTCCTCACACTGACTTCCTGGCTGAGATTAAGAAGACCTCAGTTGTGGTGAGCTGGACCCGTGGGCCCTCAGCACCATCCCCTAGTTAGAGCCCAATATGGCCTCCTTGTTTAGTGGGCTGAATCCATGGTGATGTTTTCTGCATTCCAGCTTTCTTAGTGATCTCCCTTCTCTCCTACCCTCCCCAGAACTGCTCTATTGCAGTCTGCAAGAGAATACAGTATGACATCCCTTCCTTCAGCATCCAGGAAGAATTCACCGTCACCCTCAAAGGCAACCTCTCATTTGACTGGTATATCAAGGTATGTGGGGTCCTGAGGCTCAGCCAGATGCAGATGTGATACTTCAGGGGCCCACGGGTTCAGCTGCCACACTGCTCTCTTCCACAGACTTCGAATAACTACCTCCTGGTTGTGAGCACAGCTGAGATCTTGTTTAACAATTCGGTGTTTACCCTGCTTCCAGGACAGGAGGCATTTGTGAGGGCCCAGGTATCTGTCTGGGGGCACAGAGGGATTGTTGGAGGGAGGAGGGAAAGCTGGGCTTCTGGAGATCTCTGGGTAAAGAGAACTGGAAAAAGAAAGGGAAGAGAGGGAGAAGGAGGAGTGAGGGGTGGGGTTGGGAGAATAGCAGGGAGTTCAGGGAGAGCTAAAGGTCTGATTGGCGAAATCCTCTGAAATCCAGTCTATCTCCCCTGATGCGCCTCCTTCCCCGTCTCTCTTCCCCAGACACAGACCAAAGTGGAGCAGTATGAAATTCACAACCCTGTACCGCTTATTGTGGGCAGTTCCGTGGGGGGACTGTTGCTTCTGGCCCTCATCACCGTGGGACTGTACAAGGTATTTCCTTGTTGGCCCTCTTCTCACCTACTCCCTCTTCCTTATTGCTTCTCCATCCCTCATCTCTAAAAGCAGGTACTCAGCAGCTCCATTAGTTGATTTGACTGCCAGCATTGAATATAGCTGTGTGACCGTGGGCAACTCAGTGTCTATCCCTCAGGTTCTTCAGCAATAAAATGAGAATAAATACCTACCCGTGGGATTGTGAAAGTAATTGGGTTAATATATGCAGAGCACATATAATGGCCCCTGGCACAGTGCGACCACTATAAAAGGAACAGTTATTGTCGTTATACTGTAGTATTGTATCTCTCCCTTTCCTGGCTACAATATTGATGCCATTTCCTCTCTACTGAATTTTTCCTAGGTCCCTTCTAGACAGTGCCACATCATTCTTTGTCTCTTGGTCCCTCTGGTTCCCCTCCTGGATTGCACAATTTGCACTCACTCCCCGGGCTTCTGTGGCCCTAATTCCTCTGTCCCTGAAACACCTCATCTCTGTCCCTACAGCTTGGCTTCTTCAAACGGCAGTACAAGGACATGATGAGTGAAGCTGCTCCTCAAGCGGCCCCACCCCAGTAACGGCTCCTTCCCTACTGAGCAACTTCTGCAAGGAGCAGATCTTTGGTCAGGCCATCGTGCAGGCCCCCAGGCTGCTGGACAGACATATCCATTAGGAGATTGGAGTTGTGACGTCTAACCCAGAAAAGACCTGCTTGAGTTTCCATTAGTGTGTGTGTGTATGTGTGCAAATGTGTGTGAGGGTGTATGACTCAGATGTCTATTGCATAGAGGCAAATGCCTTCAGCACAACCTCTCTGGCTGAAGAGAATTGCTTGGGCTTCCTTGTCTGTGTGGGTGAAGACACTGTTGGGCCTTCCAGGATGGAAGTGATGGCAGCTCTTGTGGGTAAAAATAAAGAGAAGCACAACAGATCCTCTCTTAAGTGAAAACTTCCTTCATGGGCGAGTGCACAGTCCTGCAGGGGCCTGTGCTGCTGGGACTGAGCTGCCGTGGAGAAGCCACTGGTGGAGCCAGGTGCTGGTCAGCCAGCATGAGCCTGTCCCAGCCCATCGCACACTCCAGCTGATGGGCTCAATAAACATGTCAAATGAGCAATGATAGACCTCCCTTTATCTATTCTTTCATTTGTTATTTTAATGTTACTTCTATTTTTTTTGTATTGATAAACCTGTCTATGTATAAAAATCAAAAGAAGTGCAAGAGTATATGGTGAAAATCCTCTCCCCCACCCCCACCTCCACACCATTCAAGCCCCTTCCTTACAGGCAGCCAATGTTATGTATTTTTGGGTCTCCTTCAGAAAGATTCTAAGCCTATGCAACATACATACACACAGGTTCATGCACAGGCCCACACCTAAGCGTTTTCACACAAATGGCAGTATTATTTATGCAGTTCTTCACTTTGCTTTTTCTTTAATATAACTCAGACATTGCTTTATATCAAGACATAAATTGACTTTTAATTATTTTGTACAGCTGCATAGTATTTCTTGGTGTGTGTGTCTCATAACATATTTAATCAGTCTCCTTTTTGATGTATTATTTCCAATCTCTTGCTATTACAATAATGCTGAAATAATAAATTGAATATATGTGATTTTTATATATGTGTCAGGATAATTTATAGAATATATTCCTAGCAGTTTGGGTTCCTCCAGAAGCAAGCTCTGAGACAAGAATTTGAGTGAAAGGAGTTTATTTAAGAGGTGGTTCCAGGAAATGCCCGTGAAGAAGGGGAAATGAGCTGGAGAAGGAAAGATAGCCAATAAAGGGTGTGTTATCAACATAGTCACCACTGTGGGGCTCCAGAGCTTAAATCTTACTGGAGAGCTCTAGGAACAATATAGAACATGCCTCTCAGTGTTATCCCACCGGGGAGAAGGAGCTGAAGTATTTGTATACCAATTCCACCGTTATAGACTGAGGGCTGCTCGAGGGCTTTAATTTCCCGGCACTTCTGGACTGCCTTGGGTGTGGGCAGAGCAGGCTCCGGTGGCCACAGAAAGAGATACTGGCAGTCTGACAGGTGAGCACAGCCCCTGGCAAGGCCCATGGGGATATGGACGGGGCACCAGTAATATCTGCTACAAAGGGTATGTGCATGTAAAGTTTTGACAGCTATGTCCGGGTAGCCCTCCATCTTTAGATGGAGTACTATTTACCTCATACCAACAGTGCAGTTGACTGCTAACCAAAAAGTTGGCAGTTCCAACCCCCCAGCTGCTCTGTGGGAGAAGGATGTGGCAATCTGCCTCCATAAAGATTTACAGCCTTGGAAATCCTATGGGGTTGCTATGAGTCAGAATTGACTCCACGCAATGGGTGTTGGTTTGGCAGTGCGTGTGAGTGCTTGTCCCTCTACCATTGCCAATGCATCCTAATTCTCACGCCATTCCTGCTAAGTGAATGACTTGTTTTTAACTGTTATCTGAATTTCATATATCAGGAAACTGAGGCCATATCAATAGGTCGTACCAATTGCCTGAGGTCATGCAAATTGCCTGAGGTCATACAGATAAGAAGGGGCTGGAGCTGGGATGTAAACTCATCTCTGTCTGGCTGCAGAGCTTTTCTCTTACCGTCCTGATAGCCTTAGAGAATGGCAGCAGGTATGAAGGACATGCGGGGACAGAGTGGCTCTTATTTAGCTGTTATAATATTAGGTTGAACCATATGAAATTGCCGACACGAGACATTTTTTTGGAAAAAAAAAAAAAAGTCAATTTCATCCAAATACAAAAAAAAAGCATGGCTTAGATGGCCTGTTCCAAATACGATGGAAGAAGCAGAGGGCTTAACCCTACTTGGGAAGGAAAGGCTCCCTAGGGGAGGCAACTCCTGACTCAAGTAGGGGCAGAGGGCACAGGGTGAGGCTGGAAGAACGGCAGGAGCTTGGGCATATGAGCTTTGTAAGCCAGAGCGAGAAGTTTCATTTTTATTCAGTGTTCTGTAAGATACCATTGAAGGGTGTCTAATGAGACAATAGCCCTTTGCGTCCTTGGGGGTGCCAAACACATGATCACCTTTACACAGTTCTACACAATTTCCTCTCCTGACTTAAAAATAAAATGTTTTTTTAAATCAACTTTATTGAAGTAAAATTTACTCAATATGTACCCATTTCCCCCAAAACGTACCCACTTTAAGTGTACATTTTGATGGGTCTTGATCAGTTTAGGTACCCAAGTAACCACAATCAATGAGGATATAGAACTTTTCTGCCACTCTAAAATTTTCCTTGTTCTCCGTTCCAGTCAATCCTCATTGCCCCTCATCCCCAGCTCCAAGGAACCACTGACCTGCTTTCTGTTACTAGAGATTAGACTTATCTTTTCTAGAGTTTTATATGAACAAAAAAACATTTCCTCTTCCTTAACTTGAAAGGTAAAAGTTGTCAGTATCTTCAGATGTCCTTAGTTGAACTAGGAAGGGAGACAACCTTTGTACCCATAGTCACCTGCCTTGCAGGCTCAGAGTCCACATCTGTATCCTTGAATTGGAAGTCTGTGTTGAATTCAGCCAGATAGGAGTTTTATGATGGATTAGAAAAGTAAATCATTTCAAGTAACAAATTACCCTAGCATAGCCACAGAGTTACTAATAAGTAGGGCCATAAATCTCTGACGATAAGCAGCTAAACCCAGGAAAGTCTACACTTGTCTTTATGTTCTGGGGTCCCTCACTTCAGGAAAAAAAAAGGTCTTTATCCCTTCAGTATCCATCCTCTTTTTATTATTTAGTAATATAATTTTTATCTGGGCCACTGTGGTAGATTGTTATAATAAAGACCCCCAAAGAATTGTGCCTCCCTATGTCCTGCCCCTTTGCAATGTGACATTGCTGCTCCTCTTATCGAGCGGTGGCGCCCGTTTCTCTACTCCCTTGAATTAGGGCTGGTCTTGTGACTTTGACCAATAGAATGTGGCAGAAGTGATGTTGTATGAGTTTTGGAGCTTAGACCTTAAAATGCATTGCAGCTTCTGCTCTTGCCCTCCTGGAACCCTGAGACCACCATGCAGTGAGCCATCTAGGCTAGTGGAGAACGTGTGACCTCTTGGAGGAGACAGGTGACACACCCGACTGATAACCAGCACAACTGCCTAACACATGCTTAAAGCTATTGTGGGTCTCCCTGCCTAGTCAAGCCATTCAGTTATGTCAGCCACAGGCAAGTCCAGCAGAAGAACTGCCCAAATTGTCACCTCACAGAAATGTGAGAAATAATAAATTGTTGATACTTCAATCCACTGTATTTTGAAGTAATTTGTTATCAGTAATAAGTAACTAATATAGCTACCCAGTTAAACATTACATTTCCCAGTCTCCTTTGCAGGTAGGAATGGCCACACGACTAGGTTCTGGCCAACGGGATGTGACTAGAAGTGAGTGAGCAACTTTAGAGTCAGGTCCTTTGAGAGAAGTGCCTTCCCTTTCCCGTTACCTCCTTCCCACTGACTGGAGAATGAACGTGGTGGTGTGCCATTTTGCACCTTGCAGACGAGGGTAACACCTAAGGATGACAGGGTGAGAGAGAAAGACCCTGGATCCTCTTTCTGTAGAACTGCCATGTTAGCACATCTTCATACTGATACTGGAGAAAGAAACGAACATCTGTCTTGTTTAAGATGTTGTAATTCTGAGCCTCCATTATAGCAGCTGCCCATGCTACCCAAAGGCTCTGTTTTCCTACTTGGCCCAAGAAATTGAATTTGTAGTAAAGTCTGAAGGTTTCTTTCATTTTTTTTTTTTTTTACACAAAATATCTTTTATTCTGAATCATACAACCTTACTTCTAAGGAGCATTCTGGCTGTACCAAGACAGATTTTGTTTGTTCTTCTGGCAGTCCATAGGATCTGTACCATTCTTCACCAACACCATAATTCAAATGCATCAACTCTTCTTCCATTTTCCTTATTCATTGTCCAGCTTTCACTTGCATATGAGACACTTAAAAATACTATGGCTTGGGTCAGGTGCACCTTAGTCCTCAAAATGACATCTTTGCCCCTATTCCTTGCATTTCAATCCCCTCCTTCTTAATCACCACTCATGATATAGCCAGGCACCCAAAATGGAGGGACTCCATTCATCCTTGGGGTGGTCAACTTTTTCTTGTTCCCTCTGCTCCGAAACTGAAAGTAGGTGAGCACAGGCTTCAGTTACATTTCCTTCATCTGTAGGACCTTTCTGATGAGCTCACTTAGTTTAGTCTCCAAGGATTTATCTCAACCTCTGAAAGCACCACAAGGAGGGTCCTACCCCTTCATCCCACCCCTCCTGGTGTCAGAATAGCCTGATGGAGAAATTAACTGTTACTTCGTTCCCTGGTGGACTCATGGGAAAGATACTTGTCTTAGTTTCCTAGTGCTGCTATAACAGAAATACCACAAATGGTTGATTAAAGAACATAAATTTATTTTCTCACAGTTCTGGAGGCTAAAAGTCCAAATTATGGTCTGGGCTGTTTCGATTCCTTCCTTGTTACTAGTCTCAGCGTTCCTTTGTTACTTGGCTTGTAGATGATCTTCACATAGCATCTGTCTTCCCCAATATGTGTGTGCTTCTGTGTTTAATCTGATCTCTTTGTTACTCAGAAATGATTAAGTTTAGGATCCACCGTACACTAGTATGACCTCAACTGACTGATCAATTGATTACATTACATTAACTTGCATTATGGAAGGTAATCTACTCTGCGTAAGGCCAACTGATTTAATCACATGATTAAATCATAACTGCACATGGTCAGGATTTCAGTAGATATTTGAGGGGGGGCACATTTCAATTCAATCCATAATAGTACTAGAAAGGTATTTTCCTCTCCTTCTTTTAAGAGATTATCCAGAGATTTACTTCCTGATGGTGTGGATTTCTCTTCCCAGGGGAAAGCTAGAAGGCTTTGTTTTTGAAATCCTTGGCTTTCAATCACTTACAGTTTAGAAAAGATTTTAAACTGGTAACCCTTGAGTCAATCCAGCTCTCAATTGAGTTTTATGTGGTCCACACAGTTTTGATTTTTTTTTTTATTGTGCTTTAGATGAGGATTTATAGAGCAAATTAATTCCTCATTAAACAATTAATACACACATTGTTTTGTGACATTAGTTGTCAACCCCACGAAGTGTCAACACTGTCCTCAACCTTGCGTTCCCCATTTCCATTCGTCCACCTTTCCTGTCCCCTCCTGCCTTCTTGACCTTGCCCCTAGACTGGTGTGCCCATTTAGTCTCTTATACATGGTTGAGCTACATGTATTATTGTGTGTTTTATGGGTCTGTCTAATCTTTGGCTGAGGGTGAAACTCAGAAGTGACCTCAGTATTGAGTTAAAAGGGTGTCCGGGGCCCATACTCTTGGGGTTTCTCCAGTGTCTGTCAGACCAGTAAGTCTGATCCTTTTTTGTGAGTTTCAATTTTGTTCTACATTTTTCTCCAGCTCTGTCTGGGACCCTCTATTGTGATCTCTGTCAGAGCAGTTGGTGGTAGCTGCACCATCTAGTTGTGCTGGACTCAGTCTGGTGGGGCTGTGGTAGTTGTGGTCCGTTAATTCTTTGGACTAATCTTTCCCTTGTGTCTTTGGTTTTCTTCATTCTCCTTTGCTCCAGATGA